GCTAAGTATTGCGATATGATATATTGCATTTCGGATTTCTTTCTACGCTGACTCCATCTTTGTTTTGACTAACTTCCTGCCAATCCCACTGACTTTCCCCATGGCCATGACCGCACAAGAAGAAGCTCAGCACCATCTAGTTCAGGGGTTCCCAAAGTGGGGGTCGCGAGATGATTACAAAATAAAAATGGAGAATTAAAAAATATATATTAAAAAAAAAATGATTTTTTTTTTTTATAAATTATTATTAATAAACATTTTCAGGGGTGGACTAGCCATCTAGTGATAGTAGTGAGACAATAATGACACTCCCAGTCTCTGGCACTGTTATTTTGGGGGTCGCGGGCTAAAAAGTTTGGGAACCCCTGATCTAGTTGATTGAAAAAACAATTGTTACCAAAAACTTTAATTTGGATTTACAATATGAATAGTTGACATAATAAAATATCGATACTTGGCGTCCATTTTGTATCGATACAAAATCACTGCGATACTCCGCTGTATCGATTATTTCCCCCACCCCTGATGTCTCTGTGTTCATAATGATGTACCTTGTGTCCATGCAGGGTGTAGATGAGGCGCCCCTCCACCAGGTCCAGGATCTTCACTGTGCTGTCGCTGGAGCCACTGATCAGGAAGTTGTTGGACGGGTGGAAGGAAAAACTGTTGATCCCTGCACTGTGGACTGATCAGAGACAAACACACACATGAACAAACATGTATTGATTTATTTGTTTATTCCACACATGGCAGTTATTTAAAAAAAAAAAACATGTACACTAATACTGGTTGTTTCTTTTTATTTGTATAGCGCATGGTGGAAAGAAGCAGGGAGAAGAACATCTTATTTTACCTGCCCAGATAAAAGCAATATTCTTTCAGTCACAGTTGCTTAAAAATACCGAAACATAAAAACCAGAACACAACTTCGATCATACTGTCTAATTACGCTTTCTTTATACATTTTCTTAAACATAAAAATGGTCTTACAGCCCTTTAAATCATTCGGCAAATAATTCCACTTCTTTACGCCATGTGACACACATCTGCTGAAAATGTAATTTCCTCCTATGATGCTCATCCTCTGAAATTAGAACAAATTTGTTTTGTATATTTTCTGGCAGTATTCTGTTTTTTGCTTTATGCATAACTAAAGCTGTCTGTGATTCTATTGATTCTTTACATTTTAACAGCCTTGACTCCATAATTAGTGTGTTTGTTTGTTCTCTAGGTTGTACATTATTAAATTTAAAAAAATGGAGATATTTTGAAGGATATTTTAGGTAATTGTTTTTTTTCTCCAAATGGAATATATTGTAATAAATACCTTGATAGTGCTGAATCAGCTTGTTGGTCCGGAGATCCCAGATCTTCAGTGAACTGTCGGCTCCCGAGGACGCGATGCATGTTCCACTCGAGTTAAAACCAACAAACGTGGCCGATCTGGAAGAAAAAACATTACATTACATGTTAGACGCTTTTACCCAAAGCTACTTCCATACTCAATACTGTGGACAATCCCCACAGGAGCAATTTGGGGTGAAGTGTCTCAGGGACACAACGACATGCTGACTGCAGTGGGGTTTGAACCTGTGACCCCCTGATCCCAACACCTACGGACTAATCCTAACCCACAGCCTCCTATCCCCATGGTAACAAGACGGGCGTGTAAATAATACACAACAACCTGCTATAAGATAAGATCTACTTTATTGATCCCAATTTGGGAAATGTTTGTGTTGCATTAGAATAAAAGACAAGGCATTGCACATAAGTAGAAATAAACCACTCGGAAATATAAACATCTCTAAAATAGAAATAAAACAGCATTAAAAAAGTTGATAATATACATAGCCTCTTTGTATGATATCAGTATTACAACTTTTTTTAAAAACACGTTTTAGGAGACTGGCCAAGAACAAAAACCCCCTCTATGATTAAGGGATTAAAACTAACAGGATTTTAGTCATAGAGTTGAAGGTCCCCTATTTTACTGTTTTTCATCGATATATTATAGGTCTCAGATATATGCAGAGCCTGTCTCTGATTGGCTGAAACACCAAACAGATCATTGCAGCATTACCCATAATCCCCTCTGTTTCAGCCCTGTTTCCAAAGTGCTGATTCTCTGTCTTTTACTTTAAATGAAAATAAGGAGCCCCTCCCCACGCCCCTCTGAGAGACATTTGGTTACAAAGAACTCAATGGTGCTCTAGGAGGAGATTCAGGTGATAAGGGGGGGGGTTACCTTGTTGCTGATTGGCTAATGGTTACACAAGACAAAACATCGTTATGACATCATAAAGTGGCCAAAATCTGATCAGCTCATTTTCAGACAGGTTTTTATAGAAATGGATCAAAAAGAGAGAGAATCTTTGTTCCTGAAACTTTCAGAATCTCTTGAAGAAGAGGGGACACATGTTGATGTAGAAGAGACATGAAGAAGAGGGGACACATGTTGATGTAGAAGAGACATGAAGAAGAGGGGACACATGTTGATGTAGAAGAGACATGAAGAAGATGGGACACATGTTGACGTAGAAGAGACATGAAGAAGAGGGGACACATGTTGATGTAGAAGAGACATGAAGAAGAGGGGACACATGTTGATGTAGAAGAGACATGAAGAAGAGGGGACACATGTTGATGTAGAAGAGACATTGGAAAGTTGATTTTGCGTAATAGGTCCCCTTTAAGTAATACGACACCAACAGTGATGGCAAAATGAAAGCTAATCATATTATTAGGACACTTTCAGGACTCACTCTGCAGAGTCGGTGAAGCAGTTGATGCAGTGTTTGGTGGACGTGTCCCACAGCCGGACGGTGCGGTCGTCTCCACACGACGCTATCAGACGCCCATCTGGAGAAAACCTGCAGGGAAGAAATCATTCCCTCCTTCACACTGAACTCAACTTTACTTATATAACACCTCTCATGCAAACATGCTGTCCAAAGGGATCTAATAAACAACACACATGTGGAAAGTAAATGAATAAAAGTCAATAGAATGACATTTGTAAAAACCAAGTGTACAAATATATATTATATATTATTATATATATACAGTCTATGGTACAAACCAAGGCTATAAACATGACTCCTATTAAAAACCAGATAGCATGTTTTCTCTCACTGATCGTGCTGTTTTGTTAAATGTTTGTGTTTCATGTATTGAGTCTTGATATTTGTCTGTTGATGTTACACATGGAGCTGCTGTGATGGAAGTCACATTCAGACTTGATCTGACCAATAAAGTATTATCGTATCGTATGGGGTTGTATAAAAAGTATTTAATTGCCTTATAAAATATCAACTTTGCTGTTTGAAATTCTAAACATTGAGTTACACATTAGAGTTTAAAGGACTTCTTTGTTCCTGGACGTACTGGATTTGTGGCAAACGGAACAAAAACTAGATTTTCTCGTGCTGTCTTTAATGTAGGTAACCTAGCACTAAAAGTAACTGAGGAAGCGTTGCTGCTGTACCTGGCGCAGCGCACCCAGTTGGTGTGCTGGGTGAGCGAGTAGACGAAGCACTGCCGGTGGACGCTCCACACTTTGACCGACTTATCATCCGACGCCGTCACCAGCCGCTGTCCATCGTGGGAGAAAGCAACGCTGCGTACAGGCGCCGTGTGGGCTTTGAACACTGTGGACTCTCCTTTCCTATCGACACAGACACATAAACACAACAGATTAAAAACCCAGCCTCAGTCACATATTTCATATTAAGTGCCACTTGTTTCACACATTCAAAGAATATGTATATATGACTCAAATATGTTTATAAAACGGACAAGTCAAATCAAGCAATCTGATTGGTTCTTAGCCGTGATATACTGAGCGTATACCACGGGTAGAATTGTAAGTTACTTTTCACAACAAGTCAGTATCCCTCCGCGTCTGAGAAAAACAGTATACAGTTGGGCTGAAAAGCAAACTGCTTGCTAAGGGGGTTGCTAAGGGGGTTGCTAAGGGGGTTGCTAAGGAACCACGCCCCTTAGCTGTGATATAATGAGCATATACCACGGCCTGTCGTGAGCTATTGCTTAAATATATGTTCATTTCATTAATTTCTTATTTTTAAAGTTACTTACCTGTACTATAACACTCCTTGTTGTTAAATACCAAGCAACTACGTGCAATATGTGCAATATATATATATGCCGTTAATAACTGTTCAATATAAACCTGGCTGCTAAATCCTCAGCGCTGTTACAGGATGTGTATTTTGTAAATTGTGTAACTTTCTTTATTAGCATTTTTGCATATGTTAATACTTTTGTATGCATGCTTCTTAGGTTACATTAAGCTGTCTTTGGCTCTTTTCTGCTGTAACAATGTAAATGTCCCCTCTGTGGGACTAATAAAAAAGGTACTGTATTCTGATTCTAAATATCATTTTAATTGTATCAATCTTTATTTTGTAATCTTGTGTGCATCTGTGCTGTCCTGTTTTTCAATCTCACCCTGTTGCTGTTTAAACAGGGTGATTAATAAAAGGTCCATTTGATTATCTTATATCTTGATTTGAGATGTAAAAGTGACTTGAGCCTACATGGTGGGGGTCCACAGTCGGACCGTCCTGTCCTTGGAGGAAGTGGCCACCAGGTGACCGGAGGGGGAGAACTGCACCCCGGTGATGAGGTCTTGGTGGCCGACATAACGGAAAGCTCTGGCCTTTGGAGCCAGATTCCAGATCATCAGAGATTTATCCACTGAGCCTGAGGCTGGAGGGAGGCAAAAAAGATCAATGGAGAACGTTCAGTCAAGACTTACACACCAGACAGAGTAGATATCCTGTTAGGGATCAGCATTATACATAACTAATGGTATTTAAACAGTCATTACAGTGAATAAAGTGAGTTTGTAACTGTATCCTTTTATTGTCTGGAATAAAAGAGCCACATTTCACTAAATACATTCTTGTAGGTCAGCTTTGTCGAACATTCTCTGGTTTAACTTCTGCAAAAGTCACTGTATTCATCAAGTGCATCAATATGCACCGTCAAAGTGCCACAAGAATACATCACTGTGACAGAAACCAAGATGCCCATCCTTGAAACCATGTCAATTGTATTAATAATAGATTATCAAAAGTTCAAATTTTGAAAAACACAAGTTCATAAAAACTTTAAAATTAATCTGCTATGTTTGGTTGGTTGTTTGGTTGGTTGGTTGGTTGGTTGGTTGGTTGGTTAGTTGGTTGACCCCTGCTAGGTACAGTATGTTGAGCATGATGAGGACACATCATGTAAGAGTCACTAACATGTAATTTACATACAAATTGTGAGGTTATTAGTTAGGATCTTATTCGACCAAATACTACAGACTAATTTTAACATAATTTCACATCAATTTAACTGTTTCTGAAAATGGCATTAATGTGAAAATGTTAATAATTTCTGAGAGTGAAAATGCACGACACATGTGATAACAGGCAATCATTAAAACAATGTCAAGTATTATCGGAGAATGTGTAAGGTTTGTGGCAGTAGATATTACCCAGTTGTTTGCGGTTTGGATTGAAGTCGGTACAGGTGACGGCATCTTTATGCCCCTTGAAGTGGCGCTCTAGGCTTGGATCTTCCTGCAAAAACAATGTAGAGACAGTCAGGGACACTGCTTTCCTTTGCAGTATAGTGTGCTCAAAATGTTATTTTGCATCAAGTTTGTTAAAGGTAAGGTGATGTGTCCTGTGTAGGGAGGTGTGTGGCGCAGCGGGTTAGTGCATTGGTGATTGGATCAGGGGGATCAGAGGAGCACAGGTTCAAACCCCACAGCAGTCAGCATGTCGTTGTGTCCCTGAAGACACTTCACCCCAAATTGCTCCTGTGGTGATTGCCCACAGTATTGAGTATGTTCGTCGCTTTGGATAAAAGCGTCTAACAAGTGATGTGTATAGCACAGTGATGAAAAAACAGCTCTGACAGACAAAGACCTATGTGTATTTGATGGATCTTTCACTTTAGTAAAAGTAGCAATACAACAGTGTAAACACACTTGGCTACAAGAAAGAGTCCTTCTTTTAAAATACTACTCAAGTAAAAGTACACAAGTAAGCTAGTAATCATTTTGTAATGTTGTCTCACTTCAGAGTCAAACATATTAAATAGTTGGATAATATGTATTCATGCATTCATCACTTTAATGTTGCACTTGGCAAAGGTGGGGTTTATAAATTTGGTTAGGAACGTTTGTTAAAAAAATGGTTTCTTATAACTCTTTTTGGTACAACTAGGCAAATTCCTCGCATGTGTAAACTTACCTGGCAATAAACCTGTTTCTGACTCTGATTCTGAAGTAGCATATCATGAAAAAAGCACAATACTTGTATTTACCTTCTAGTCAAGGTTGATGCATAATGTCTTGCTAGTAGTGGAGGGCTGGGCAGGAAATGACTTTGGATCACTGCATGCCTAGGCTCTCAACACAGTGCATGTGTTGTCTGATAACATTAAGGTTAATACAAAAAGTAAGCCTACTATGCAGTTGATATTTTCAGAGAGATCCCAGGGAGTGTTTTGCAAGCCACTCTCAGCAAATCCTCTTAGCAAAGCTGCAGCTAGCAAACTCGCCGACTCAGCTACTATTAATCCCATAGAAAGTTATCCAAGTAAACACACGTTTGCTCATTAGCATTTACAAAAGTATTAACTTACCAAAACAGAAGCCATTGTGGGCATTTGCTTAAAAAAGCAACTGTTGTCACTGTCAGAGGTAAAGTAACGTTGCTTCCATGGCTGTCAAACAGTGCGCCTTCAGCAACAGTTTCAGACCCGATGTGTCGAGCTCAGAAAATAGGCTGTTCTCATCAACAGTCCCAGCAACCTTAGAAAAACGTTGAATTCCCGGACTTTTAAATGAAAACTAGGTTTGTTTGTGCATGAAGAGCCGCATAACACACGCTATTTCCACAGCTAATGAGACGTAGCCACCTGTAGCTTGATACTCATGCAACTAAGAAAGTGATGATGCATTCATGAAAGTTGGGGAATATTTTATTTATGATAATACGAAATTAAAATGCCATTCACAACTTCAAAACACCATTCGCAACAGCTCTGAAGTTGCAGATAAGAAAGGTTATCTACTACGAAATTAGAAGTTTGTCTTTCCAGTCAATTAATCAAGGATCTCCTTATTGAATTGCATGGAAAAGTGCCCAGCTAATTGTAAGTTAGTGAACATTACATAAAAACAAAAAGAGAAAACAAAACAAATTATAAATATCAAGTAAGTGTTTGGCGAAGAATAGCCATTGAAGGAAGAATAGTAAAGACCCAAAAGTGCTTCCAACAAGCCAAAAATCGGCAATTCAAAATTGTTTTTTTTACTTTGTAATGAACGGTCCGGTTATTTTCTGGTTTCATGAATGCGTCCTGTCATTAAGGTGGAGCGTCTTTCGCTGCTAAGCAACTAGCCGGTCATATCATATGAAACTGCATTTACGCGGATGCGGCCCAGTATCCGCCTCTCTGATTGGTCCATGAAACAGCATCAACCAATCAACATCGAGATTGTTAAACTATTGACATTCATGTTTGGCATTTCGTTTTGAAAAGATGTCGCTTAAACAGGGCATCGGCAGTGTGGTGGTAACGTCTGTTTAATGACAATAATGGTTGTTTTATCTGCCCGCTTATTGTTAATATTGTATTATCGATAGTAACATGCACAGCGTGGGCAAACAGAAATAAATGTAGCTATCCTAGCATGCTAACTAGTTAGCTATTGTCAGAGTTATGTTACCATATCAACGACAGTGCACCTGTGTCGTTGGCAGAATTAGCTCTTTTAAACCTTAAATGTTTTCAGGTTAACTTACCTACCATTAGAAAGTAATATCCAGTCTGTATTTCTGTTCATTAAGATGACTATAACCCATTGTTTTTCCATCTAGTACTTGAAAAAGAGGATACCGAAAAATGAGAAATATCAACATGTCAAAACAAGGCTGGATACAGGTATGTTGTCTTTGTACAGATGAACTACAATCTTGTTATCAAGATCATTATGTTATGACTTAATTAACAAATGCCTTATTATGAATGTAACTGTCATTTTTTGTAATATAGGTTGCAGTCTCTCAAAGTATATGGAAAGGCTGGAAGACATAAAAAAAAGTGAGTACCCCATGTGAACAGGAATTAGATTGTGCAAGTCATTGTACATATTTATACTTTTTGTGATGCATTAATACATCTCAAATGTTTTGGGGTTCGCTGGAGGTTTCGTCAGTTTTTAAATCCGGCTTCTAAAATAACAGATATGTTCATAAACGGAGTAAAAACTAAAGCCTGAATCAGCAGGAGGTGTTTGAATATGAGTTGTCTTTGACACAGGTGCATTAAGATGGCTATTACAATATCTTTAAATGTTAAACTTCTGTGACTTAGATGTTTAATTGATAATAGGTTTCTTATAGATACAAACAGCTTCACAATGTCTTCCTACAATACACTTCACAAGCAGCCAGAATTGAAAAGTGCCTCCGTCTATCTGTCTAATACACAGTTCCCGTAGCAAAGACATTAGTGTATTAGTTTCCTATACACACTTCGAATTCTTCCCAAAGGTGAAAAGTTGGTTTAAATAATAGAAGTTTAAAACTCACAAATGATCGTTCAGAGCAACATAAGCCTTTGCTGTTTTCTCTCAGATTACAGGTATCAAAATAATGAAATCTTTAAGCGGTTAAAGGTGACAACGTTTGCACAATTGGTAAGTATTAACGGTTATTTCCTATCATTACTGTCCAGCAAGATTGGTTTGTTGTTATTTGTGTGGCCCTCTACATTTTAGATAACATAAAGAATGCAGAGAGAAACCATGATCCGTGCTAAATAATTGATAAGCCACTTGTGTAGAGAGTTTGAACGGACGTGTTACCTTTATCCCAGGATACCATTCTCTTTGCACTATTTGCAGTTTTCGTTCCTAGCAGAAGCGTCTTAGATTGATATCTTGTTTTTTACACCAGATACTCCAGGTAGCCTCTGTATCCGACCTGAATGAAAGTGAGATCGACGGTGAATCCCACTGCCCAGAAGGTAAGTAGTAAAGTCACTGATTCACTTAACATTGTGAAAATGCATTTATCTCCAACTTCATACCAAATAGCACATTTAAAAAAAACTTGACGTGGACTACTGTTGGGAAAATAGTGAATGTCCTCTTCCAATATGAGACCCAACTGTAGCTGTGAACATGACAGGATGTGTGATTACCTAGAAGAGCATCAGGACTGTTTGAGGCATATGATAGCTATATGATTAACATGATGATTCAGCCTCTATGGAGAGACATATGACAAGCATGATCATTTCTGACGTGGAGCTAATCTGAAGTACATTGAATACTGCTTTCTATTCCTCCATCTTGTGACTGTGTAACTCCCTCTCTTGGATATCAGCATGTGAAGGACACTGTTCAGGAACTAGTTGATGCTCTGTATGTGATGACAACTTCCATTCTGGAGAGGATCACAAATACATGGATCCTGAGATTCAAGCTCAAGCCGGAGACCAGGGAGATTTTCAAACAAATAGTAAAATAAAATGTGTTTAGCTGTGAATCATTTCTTATA